TCTGACGCCTATTAGCCGAGTTATACACATGGAAATTAAAAATTTGGAATATTGTTTTGAATAGTTTGTTTTTGAAGGAAAATTGTAATATGGTTGTTCTCGAATCGAAAAAATACTTCAATACCCTTTCCGTCAAGTATTTGCTATGCTTTGGATGATATATGAAATTAAATCGCGACAATCAATTAATTCGTATTGTGAAATTAGACTCCAGCCGACCTTTATGGTTACTTATTTTTATACCCTTGCAGAGGGTATTATAATTTTGGTCAAAAGTGTGCAACGCAGAGAAGGAGACATCTCCGACCCTATAAAGTATATATATTCTTGATCAGGATCACCTCCTGAGTTGATATGAGCATGTCCGTCTGTCCGTCTGTCCGTCTGTCCGTCTGTCTGTCCGTCTGTCTGTCCGTCTGTCTGTCCGTCTGTCTGTTTCTACGCGAACTAGTCTCTCAGTTTTAAAGCTATCGTCTTGAAACTTTGCACTCACCCTTCTTTCTTTTGCACGCAGTATATAAGTCGGAACGGCCCGGATCGGCCGACTATATCCTATAGCTGCCATATAACTGATTGATCGGAAATGGTATAACTTTTGTGTTTTTAGAGTTAGCGAGTTCAAATTTGACATGAGAGCTATTTTTGGCAAAACATTACGTCATGCCAAATTTCGTAAGGATCGGCCGACTACATCCTATAGCTGCCATATAACTTAACGATCGGAAATGACCCAACTTTCGTGTTTTTGAAGATAGAAAGCTGGAATTTAATACAGATTCTATTTTTGGTCAGTTTATCCAACCTACCAAATTTCATTAGGATCGGCCGTCTATATCTCATAGCTGCCATATAACTGAACGATCGGAAATGGTATTTGGTAGAAATATCAACTTTGGTATTTTTGAAGATAGAAGTTTGGGACTTTTTTTAGATTTTGTATTGTAATAAATTGGATTATATATTCCTATCCAGATAAGGATCGGCCAACTATATCCGATGTTTGCGATATATATCCGGTTTTAACTGCAAGGGTATATAAACTTCGGCTCCGCCCGAAGTTAGCTTTCCTTTCTTGTTATTTAATAAGCTAAAAGTGAAAGCATATAAGCACAAATTGTCAAATAAAGACTTTTAACAAATTCAGCAAAATGGAAATGAAAGAAATTTTCTTTAATTTGAATTTTCTCAGAAATCAAAATCAATCGGATAATTTCCGGGAAATGCCGGCAGGATATGTGAAAAAGGAAGTTTAAGCTCGGCCCCTGAGAAGATTTTGTTATTTAAGGAATTTTTCTGTACACTGTGTGATCCGTTTATCATCCGAATTTTCGGCCAAATTAGCGTACGAACTTTGGCTAGGAATGCGGTCAAACTCGTGCAAGCGAAATGTTTTGTCAAAATGCAAAATGGGAAAGAGAAATTCAGTTTAAAACTGATTTCTGATTTCACATGCCCCGCTGGGCTCAAATCAATATGAAGGCAAAACCATGGTGGTTCCTGCTGCTGCTGTTCCTGTTCCTGTGGCAGGCAACAAATGTGTCTAATGCCTGCCATTAAGCAGAATCTATCAGGCCAAATTACATGCCCATGTCCGGGCTTTGGGTTTCTCGGTTGTAGGCTCTTGGTCGTTGGTCCTTGGTCCTCGGTTCTCTAACAACAGCTTGGCACTGCGGTTGCTTAGGCTACCAGAAATTTGCATAAGCATCGCGCATCAATTTGAAGTCAAGCATGCGTATAAATATTTTTATTTTTATGCCAACGCAGTCTCCGAAATGGCCTTAAAAATCAGCCTCAACTTTAGGCCCATTTTGAGGTCAATCTCGTTGCAGGGAGCAACAACATCTAGGGACATTTGGGTGGCTTGCGGTCAAAAGTGCGGTGGTTGCGGCGCAATATTATTATTATTTCGAATTCGGACAGAGACATGTACTGTGTGGGGATAAGCTGGGATTTTGTGGCGCAATTTAAGAGAATTACAACTGCATTTTAACATTATATGGAACGCAACTCAGGGCACCCATTGAGTTTGCTAATTAATGAGCTGGGGGAATATCTGATGGATGGATATTGGAAATAAAAACACACTGCAATTAGTTGATTAGGAATAGTTTAGAGCCAGACGTAAATGATTTTGTATAAAAAGAATAGAACACAAATGAGCTTAAAATACTATAAATATTTTAAAATACTTACTTACAGGCAAATATGAATAAACTTCAATAAATAACTTGTTTTAAATAAAAACTTTTAATTAAAATATAAACTTAAGCAAAACACTCTGCCCCAGTAAGTGGTTTTGTATAAAGAATGTGATGGTATTTGGTCAAGCGAATATTTTCAAAAGGTTTAAAAAATAATGCAGAGCTCATACATAGCTGAGGAAACTTTGAAAATACTTCCTTGTGAGTTACATTTGTTGTTAGCCACGTGAAGCCAGCTGAAAGTAATTAGAAATGGAAGAATGTTCTCCATTATTGTAACACATCAGCAGGACAACAAATGTAAATTGTTTTTGAACAACTCGCATTCGCACGCATACTTACTGTGGATACTGTGGAAAATTCCTACCTCAGGATTTTTCAAACCCCACTCCAACCCCCTTATGACCGGCAGGACAATCTGTTCGTTGTTCGGTGTCCTATGGTCTCTTCTCCTTTTGCTTGTTTTAAGCCTTTTCGATTTATTTGCTGACCCAGTTTTCATCGGCTGCCAAAGGGAAACCTCCAGCTCCAGCTGAAGCTCCTGCCTTGCGAGCTGTCTATAATCCAGCGATTACATGTGACACACGCATACGTTGCAGCTTATTTTTCATTTCTTCGACGTAGGTTCCTGGCAGGCATCTGTTGGGTTCCCTGGTCCCTGTCCCCATCCCTATTCCTGTCCCTGGTAGTTTGCATAAATAATTGAGCGACTTCGGGCTATGCCGGCTTTGTGTCCCATCAGAGGAGCTAAACCTCCCAAATGAAAACGCCATGGATGGGTTAATTTTTAAATAAAAAATTTTAATCGTATCGCTTTTTGCTCTTCGCCGGTTTGTTATGTTTTAGAGTGTTGTTGTCGTCACACAATATTGCGGCAACAATCACTGCACAAAAGACAAACAACAATGCATTTTATTTTATGCATCTCCTGTCCTGTTGTAGCCTTTTGTTATTTTTACTATTTGTTTATTATTGTAATGCCTTGCTATTTTGCTTTATGATGTCATATTTATGTTTCTCTAGTTTCCCATTTATCGTTAGTTTAAGTTCAACAGTTAAAAGTAGTTCGTTTTATACAGTTCGATTGCTTTGTTACAACTATTTAACTATAGCAAGAATTCAAGTTTCCATATAGTACATACATGACTAATGCATACGTCTAGAGCTTCACTAATTAACTTTAATATACAGGAATTACTTAGCTGATGTCCTACGATTATATTATATATGTATGGGTTTGTGTATTCCGCTTTAAAGGTTTACGGCAAATGCTTGTGGGCTTATGGCATTAGCATTCCATTGAGCTGGAATGCCAAATTAACTGGCATATGTAAGTATTCACACTTCCACCCTGTGGCAGACTGCATATATTTTGATTGGTTAAATGCATCTCGATTTGGTTGGCATTAATGTTTGTGAGTTTGTGAGCTTGGCAGTAATCAGTAATCACAAATTCAAAGAAAATAGATTGAACAACTTGAACAAATAGAAATGAACAACTCATAACCATTCCGGATGCTTTAAAATTTAATTGCGGAAACCAACATTTTAACATGGTGGGCATTACATTTTACGATATAATTTTCGGCTTATGATTAAAATTTGCTCAACAAAATGATTACAATTAGTTTTTTTCCACCAAAGAAAATAAAATGCATCATTCAGAATAATGCTTGTGGGCAATAGCACGAATGAAAAAGTCTGGGATCAATTTTTAATTGGCCAAAACTAACCCAATAAGTTTTTATGAATTGATTTGACCAACAAATGTTATTTAAGTGCCAGAAAATGTTGTTTTATAATTAGAAATACTGTGGACCATAAAATTTGCGGCACATCAAAAGGTTTTTGTGATTTTCATTTAACCAACGTGCCTGAAATCGATTTCTGAATTGTTCACATTTTATTGCTTAATTAAACCATTTATGCGTTTCTCTGGCTGGCCATTTAATGTAATTAAAATTTTAAAAAAGTCACAGTTGGTGGTCGCCTAGAAAAAATTATATTTTTAAATATTATATTATTTCAGTTACTTGATGTTGTTTTTTGTTCAATGTGACAAAACCGTGAGCAGACATTTTTGAGGAAAAAGGTAATGAATTTTTCAATCATGGCTTACATTAAATTATAGAGCAACATCATTAAATGCATACTTATAAAAAATTAAACTAATTGTGTTTTTTTTTTTTTGCGGGTAAATAATATAACATATATAAAATCGAATTTCCAATTGGATTGGTGGAAAATTGCGCAGTGCAAATATTTGCATGATATGGCAATCAATTTAAATGTTTTATGACTCACTGCTGTTTTCATTTTCGGTTTGGTTGCTATTTGGCTTGTCTACGTTTTTATCTAATTATGGAATATTGAGCTCGACACTGTACACGGCATAATATTTGATTATTCATTAATTTATTAAAAGAGTCAGCCCCTCTGGCCACAATGATTACTCCTTCCTTACTAATATGGGTGATACATCCTTTTTGTTTCGTTTATTCCGTAATTATGTTTAAACTTGTTATTTACACGTAGCCTATAGTAAATTTTGATTTTGTTTAAATATACACATTAAATTGTAATCAATTAGCTTACATAAAGTATATTTACGAGTATGTATAAATGCAATGCTTCCACAATGGCTTGGGATGAAAGAAAATAGTTTGGAAAAAGTCTGAATGAACTAAATGTATCAATTAAGTGAATTAAATGAAGATAAAAATAGCTTTTAGACAGAATTAATAAAATATTCCATGGAAAAGTGAAGGGCTTAAATAAAGTATGAAATAGAGTTAAAGTTATTATAGACATCTTAATTAAGCCATTGCTTGGCATTGCCTATGTTTTGATTAATAGTTTAGAACTGACACACCACATCCACACACTCGCTCTAACACACACGCTCTGGCACACATTTCATGTGGCTGGTTAAATTACTCTACTGACTGGCTGGCTGGTTGTCCTTCGTTCGATCATCTGTGACAGGACCTTTTGGCCCGGACATGCACTGTGGCTTGGCGACAAATGGCGACCGCAGGACATCGTTTTCGCGCCGTGACGGCACTTTCATTGGCGGCACTTTCACTCGTCGACGGTTGTCCTGGCGATGATGGCAGAGCGGCGGCGGTGGCCGAGCATTGTTGACTGTAGCACAGGACGAGGCCCAGCAGCAGGACAATTGTCAGCCAATTGTACTGACAACCGGATGAACCAGTTTGCATTGCCTCCGGATGTTCACCTGAAATTATGGCCCGAACTAATTTCAACTGTATTGCATTGTCTTGAGCTTACTTGTTACAGAATCAGAAAGGGATATACATATGTGTGTAGGGTTGTAGAGTTGTATAAAAGCTAGTTCAAGTCCAACTAGGATGTGTTTTGTATCTAAACATGTATAGTATACATCTCCTTGAGTCAGCGTCCCGTAACTGAATCGACCGTCTTTATTTGATGCGCTCTGTTTGGCCCTAAACAAGTGTTTGTTTATGCAGGCGTTTTCAGTTTCTGTTTGTGTTTGTGTTTATGCATAAATATTTAATTAATGCTGCAGTAGCCCAGAAAGAGCCAAGGGAAATCACCAGACAGCTACCCATACATATTATGTATTTGTGATTCGGTGCCAGCCGAAGCATATGAAATATTTAATCATCAAACCCAAGGACCTCCCAATAATTAGCTAATATCTTTCCAGCCATTGTGGCCATTAATAAATTGATTGTCGAGAAAGATTTATCTCTCTAGTTTCCACATTTCAAAAGCCTACCTCTTGTATTCGATGAGGTGGAGTGTTCCGGCCGTTTAACGACCGAACAAGAGTGATGCTTGATGGTCCTCGAATCTCAAGTGTTTGCACGCGATGCCAACACCACCGACAAGTATTTATAAATAACCCAAAACAATTGCCCATCTGGGCCAACACCTTCAAGGACTTCTGTTTACCTGACCATACACATGTATCAATTACGGAGACGAGAGTCATGTCCTTGTTGCTGATTGAGTTGAATTTTTCAAGCAATTAACTCTGGCTCTTAGGACACTGTATCCCACTACAATTTGCAATCAAACTACACCCACTTGGGCAAAGGGATTTCCATGATGTAATACAGGGCGTATGAGCGATAAGCGAAGGGGTTGCGGTGCGGTTTAATACAGGGCGTATGCGTAATATGGGAATTCGCTGGCTATACACTGGAGATGTAAACAGATTGCGTAGGCCGTTCCATGGGGCTAACCTCCATTCAAATTCAGCTATTGCTATTGCACAACAAGATGGCCAATAAATTTAGATGCCGCATCTAGTTTAGGACCAACACACACTCACACAAGGAGGAATACAAGCACATCACGCATACGCAATGTGGCCCCTCAAATGCGGCACAAGACAATGTATTTGTTGACAGCACTGGAATTATTAATAACGTACGTGGCGCACATAATTCATCATCAGGCCGGAGAGACCGATCCACCCGCCGACCTTTGGCTCCTTCGGATATATAACTTGAATAACTTGAATGTCTTACGAGGCTTGTAGGGCTGGGAAAACACACAAGTCACAAGCTGGCTTAGCCAAACAAAACGTCTGTAGTGCATGGGGCAGGCGGGCCGGGGACAAGGGAAAGAATCTTGCAAAAAATAATACAAAAACCCGCAAAAAAATAGAGAGATAAAACCGAAAAATGGAAACTGAAATATGCAAAATTAGCGCTGATGGATTTTCAGGAAGGAAACCATGCCAAGAGGAGCAGGAAGCCAAGGAAGCAAACCAACTACCAAGTTCTAGACACACACCCACACACACACAGAAACACAGAGAACTCAAGGACGAAGGACTCGCAGCTTCTGAGCTGCATGCACGTAGTTTTGAGTGTTTTTACGAGCGGCTTTGCATACTTTGCCAGTATTTTCACATTTTCTTAAACGCGCTTTGTTTGTGCAGTTTATGCAGGATGTCGGCTGACAGCCACTTGTCCTCTGCTCTCCTTCTTTGCCTTACTTTTTATTTTTTTTTATATTTGTTTGAGTGTATAAGTAAGCAGCCACAAAGCTGCGATTTGGTCGCACTAAGCGCCATTCAATTGCCCGCAAGTTTCATTCAGCTTCACATTTTTTCATCCAGCAACTGGCCTAAATGAATTACACAGTTCATTAGCGCGATTGTTGTGTGCTCAATTGAGCCAGTAAATATTAAATAATTTCCATTATCGAGTGCAAACAAGTGCGAAATACCAGAAACGTTGATTGCCATTAATTTGTAATTTACAAGCCAAGTGGCCAAGTCAAGATTTTCATTTATGGCTAATGTTCTAAACTGTTTAGGCATTTCGATATTATTAATTTATGAAGGTTATAATTGCAATAATATTTTGGCTTGAAGGATAAGCCAAATTGAAAAATATACTCAACTTTAGAGGCTTTCTGCTCTGTCAACTAAAAAGTATTTGTACCACTTCTTTGTATTTTATGTGAGTCTAGCTTAGAAATACTCCACTCGGCAATAATGTATGTTAGAGTGTGTGCTCTTATCCGACCCACTGTCGGAAATGGGTTAAATGGCCTTGCTCCTAGCTGGCTTGCTTTTTCTTGGCTTTTGTTTCGCCTTGCGTGCTTTTCAATTATGCATTAAACCATCGCAGTTGGTTATAAAAACGCTTTGCTGCCGTCGCTTGACACTGTGCACATCCGGTTGCAGTTTGATAAGCATTTTACGGGCTTTATCGCCATGCAACGGCGACGGGCAAAAGGATTTAAGCAAGTAGAATGTCCTGAGCCCATTCCGAGAAGTTGCCCCTGCGGCGGGGCTTTTCCGTTTTTACCCTTTCTCCATTCTCCCTTTCTCTCCATTTCTCCAAGTTTATAAATAAAATGTGCATATGTGACACCCGGCACGCAATGTCAAGGCGGTTGCCGGAACTGGGCGCGGCAGCGAAATACCAGAGCGCGAACAAAAACCGGAAGCCATGCTTTCCCGCCTTCCGCCATCCCCTCTCAGCCATTTTTGCGTCCTTCCTTCGCTTTATTATTGTTTTTGCCACACGTTGCCGCTGCTGGCCAAAAGTTGCACCGCGCCGTTCGCGCTTGTTTTTCATCCTGCGTTGACATTTACGTTGTTGTCATTAATTTTAAGCTGCATGCTTTTTGGCCACCAGCCGGCATTCTCCATTCGAATTACGAGTTTCTAGGAAAACGAGGAGAGAAAAAAACCAACTCCCACCATGTATTTACCTAAGCTGTAAAAAGGGAAAAAGTTTGTGGCAAAATCAGGTGGAAACTTTTCATCGCTTCAGTGGATTTCATAAATTGCACGAGTGTATGATTTATAATATTTGTTTTTAATGAGATTTCCCCAAACAGATTAAAGTAGTTTAAGTCACAACTTATCAGGAGATTGTTATGAATTTCCCTAAATCAGTTTAAACATTTAACGCCAGGCTGTAACTTTTCCTCTGGATAGTATTATCCAACGAAAAACTATAAGAAAGTCCAGAGCAGGTACAAAATATCTTTCTTCAGCAGAAGAACTTTTACGAACTCTCAATTCTTCTTTTATTTTAATCAGTTCAAATGCCTGTCTAAGCCGTTTAGAAGGAACGAGTGTCTCAGTATCAGTCTCAGTCTCAGTCTCAGCATTTCGCATTCAAAATGTAATTTAAAAGTTTTCATTTTCATTTTATTATATACAAACAGAGCCCTGCACACTTATAGGACAGATTACATTCTTTTTTCGTTGCCTTTTATATTCTTGTAGATTTTGTTTTGATTTTATTTGGCACAAAACTATTCCAAAAGTTTTGAATTTAATGCGCAAATACGTATTATGTGCCTCGGCATCTTCATTGCCAGATCCATGCTATATATGTATATATCTGTCCACCATTTGTCTGAATGTAATACATTCTAACAATATTGTCGTTTGTCGCAGTGTCATGTCTCGTTTCGTTTCGTTTAGTTTAGTTTGGTTTCATTTGTTGGAAAGTTTCTGCACTGGCTGGCTGAAATAATAATTGAATGTCACTTGAACGACAAGTTGTGCCCGAGCCGAGGAATCCGGCGAGAAAACTACCAAACAATTTTGTCAAAGTGACAAAATGCCGTACGGAGCCTGCCAGCCAGGATCTGGCCAAAAAACTTGTTTTCACAGGCTTAGGGACAAGCCAGTCTCTTGCCGGCTTTCCCCAGCAAATACTATATATGTATGCATTTTATCAGCGGTTTTTCTGGCTTTTCCGACTTTGTTCTGGAAAAAGCCGGTCTGGCAAGGAAATTTCAATTGAATTTTGAGCGGCTCAAGGGGAATTTTTAATTGAGCACAGAGGCAAATCTCTGGCCCAAAAGCAGACCGCACACATAGTTTTGTCAGTTGCAGCCCAAATTTCCAGCGCCAGCGTCAAAGCCAAAAATCTAAGCCAAAGCCAAAAGCTGTAACCACATTTTAAGTCCCCCGAAAGCGTCTCATATAAATCACGAATGAATTAAGTGTGGCCTGACCTGTTACCACTGGTTTTCCCTTGGATTTTCCCTGCTCTTTGTAGCTTTTTGTGCTTCATTCCCTTGACTTTTTTTTTTTTTTCCTTCCCCCACATTTTGGCCTTTTCCCATTCGTTTTTCTTTGATAAACTTGAGACGTGCGTCCTTGAATGTGTGTGGGCTGCCCGGCTGACTTACTGTTTGCGTAAGTCAGGACCCACAACAAGGATATGGGACTGGGAGCATCCTGGCCTTTGCTTTTCGTCATTTGAGTCATTGCGGTCAAGGCGCCTCCTCTTCCAGGTCCTCATCCTTTGGGGCCTTTGCTGCTTTTCTTTCTGTCTTTAATATGTGGCTGACTGGGTGGCTGAATGGCAGGCGGGATGGCTGGTTGGCTGGCTGGCTGTTTTAATGCTTTATTTGCACGTGTTGACGTTTATCTTGACTCACATTCATACACACTCGAATGGTGCAGAAAGAGATTCATTCCCGTCCAGACCGTTGGATTATCGGAGCGAAAAAGTTAGCAGGCCAAAAGGCCCAAATGGAAATGGCAATTGGTGGCCAGGACTTGGTGGTCCAAAGCAGGAGATTACCCAACAAATTGTCCTGCTAATGTGAAGCACTCGAAAGGAAAAACTTTATAACAAAATAGGAATTAAGCAAAAAGTTGGGTATTCTCAAATATTAATTTAGCTTTAAGATAAAGGATTGAGGATTTCATGATTTATTTAAAGCATTTTTTCTTGATTTTAGAGTAGAATTTTTGTTAGTGTACAGCTCCTTCTGTACAACTGCAAGGCTTCTCTTTTAATGAAATTAATTGAATGCTGCATTCAATTCCACTCGCATCGCCACATCACATGTGCTGCGCCCACGTAATTTAGCAACTGTTTGCTGATTTGTTGAAACGTTGATGCACATTAGGCCACGTATCCTGCGAATATTCCACTATATATATATACTATATATGGGATGTGTGTGTCCTTGACAACGCCTTAGCCTTTGACTTGGTTACGGTTGTGGCTTGGGCCAGGATGGCACACACATGTGGCCGGCGAATGAAAGTTTGTCTATGCATTGGCCCAACGCCTTCAAATCCTGATACCCAGCGTTATCCTGCGCGTGTGTGCCCCTGTATGTGTTGACCTATCAGTTTACGTGCCATTTAGCACTCAATTAAATTCGAACAGCGCAAACACACAGGAAATACCCGAACCAGAAGCAGCCACCGAAGCAAGAGCATTTAAGTAAATGTGCGCTCATCAGCAAGGAGCCGGGCCAGGGCAGGCCAGGGAGGCCATGTCCGGGCCAGGACCAAGGACCTCCAGCAAAAGAATTTGCACTGACAGTCCGGCTATTAATCACGGCAGTGAGCATTTGTTGAAAGCAATTTATTTCGTTATCGAATGGATTTGACCAACTAGATGCTGCTAAAAATTATGCAAGCCAAGCGATATAAAGTAGTCTCATATCCTGTCGTCAGATGCATTTCAAGGATTTTCATTTTAACAGCAGAGATTGTTTCTCAATTAAATGTGTGTGTGTGTGTGCCCTCTGGGTCTCTGGTGCATAATTCTCACTTATCGATCTGCCAAAGATTTTATTATTTAAATTGTGAGTTGCTGCCAGATTGTTTACCCACTTTCAATTTCCATTTCAATTGATTTGTGCGTTTGTCTTTCATCTTTTAGAGTTGCTGGCCTAAAAAGAACATCCTGCTAAGGGCAGATATCACTTGGTTTACTGACTTATCTGACAGACTTCGGCGACCAGCCGACACGTCAGACTTTACGTATACGCAGTGTTGGCCCATCGCGAGAGATTGTTGCCACAGTGCCCTATTGATTTTTGATGCTTGACTGAACCACCACAGTGCGGGGGGAAAAGCTGAACGCGTTTTGCAATTGAGTTTCACCATCCGGGCCGATACAACAAGCAGCCGGCAATCCAATTACTGTTCTGTTTTTGGCCACAAACGCAGACTCCTGCTGATTGGTCGTCTGATTGACTGTCCTACTGAGTGACTGACTGACTGACTGACTGCCTGATTGGCTGGCTGAGTGCCTAAATGATTGCCAAATTAGCCAAAAGTGCACTTAGCATTATGTTGCTCCTTCTGGGGGCTGATAATCCATTTCAATTCATTAGCTACAGGTTGGAGAATTTTTTCTAAAACTGTTGGGCCAAAAAGCAAATACACTTGGAGCTTTAGTTTGTACGGTTTGAAGGAAAACAAAACCATAATTGCACTAATGTATAATTAAGGTATTTTCTTAAAACTTTCAGGAAATTTAAAAGCTTGATTCGGACACCGAATGTAATTGCTGGTTTGCCAAGGGCTGGATTTCTGAGAACCTCAGTTGGCAAAGCAAATTTAAAATGTTACCCTCCAGCCAGGAGAAACTTCAAATGCAATTTGAAACCATTATTATTCAAGGCTTTCAGACGGCTGCTGGTGCTACCAGTCGGCAGGTAACCTAATCCAACCTTCCTTTCATTATCGGACATTTTATAGCAATTTAAAATTCAAGCCCCGGGCCAAGCAAATTCTGGCATTGGGCTGGTGTTTTAAGGGGGTGTGGCCGTGTCCTGTCCACTTAAATTTTAGTTAAAGTTTATGCTGTCAATGTGCGCACCATTGAAACCTGAAACGGTGACAATTTCGGGGCCAAGAACTTTACCGTTTTACCGTTTGCCGTAACAATATGTTGTGGGCGAGTCCTGTTTGAGTATTTGTGTGTGAGTGGCAACTTTGCGAACAAAACTTGCAACTGTAGGAACTCAGAATGGTGGCTAGAGGGTAGGTAGGGTAGTTGATGCATATATATCGCCCGAGTGGAACATGCCGCATGCAGCATACAGCATTCTACCTGTGTGCGTGCTGCGTCAAGAGTTGCAATGTAAGTGGACCCGTTGTATCCTGTATCTATCGCAATCTGCCCCGGCTCCGGCTCCGGCGTCGACCAGCCTCTCGAATCCCTTCCCGGCGTTTAGTTACAGAATTTTGTGGTAAGTAAAACATTGCAGCCCCGAGTCACATGACACACGCACACCGAAGCCCAGGGAAAACCAACCAGCTAACCCGCACAAGTTGCATTCTGGGTCATCCTTGGACAGGCCTCCTGGGAGGTGGGGTAGAGTGGCTGCGAGCTGGGAGCTGAAAGCTGGGAACGGAAACAGGAGCAGGACTATCCAATGCCAACGCCAACGGATGCACGTACCAATATACAGCACTTTATACATATACGAAAAGTGTGTTCTCTGCGGTGCACCTCAAATATTATTACCAGCATTCTTACCGATATTGCCGTGTACAGGACTCTCTCGAGTGATGCGGGGTGGAGCTGTGGCTGTTGCTGCCACTTGCATGCCAACTGGACATGTATTAAGGCCAACTTCAACTCGTTATCCAGCGCCAGGCCACGACGGCCACAGTGGGGTATACCGATTGAACCGTCCAGGAATGGCATCTCCTGAAAGCTACCTCGCGGATCGAACTTTTTCAAGGACTCTCGGTTAAACAATTTGCAAAATATTGAGATATCCCAAGATGATTGATAAATATATATGCTAGCTATATAGCTTTTATTTAAAAATATTGATTTTTTGGGGCAAGTTCCTCCACATTCTTGAGTCGTTGCAATCTGATTTTCTTTAAATAAACTTTTAATGCAGTTTAAGGTAAACGAGTTGAAATTGATTGCAGAAAGTTGCATGGTGGTTGGAGTGGAGGAGAAACAATGACATATTTACACATGCTGGGATCTTGAAAAAAAAATAAACCATCCAGAAAGTTCAGGCTACATAATGAAATATTACGAATATATTGCAAATATGCAAGGCAAAATGTTGAAATACAATTACGAAAAATAAGTTTGTGTGCAGTGAATGCTCGGTATGTTGTACGCATACAAACGTGAGTATTTTTATTTAATTTTTGTTGCAAGTGCATTTGTTTTTGTTTTTGTTGTGTTGCTGTTGCTGCCGCTGCACTGTTCTGTGAAGCGCTCTTGAAACTTTGTGCAGAACACGCAGCCGAGCGCTTAATTTGCAACATTTCTTTGTCACAGGCATAAGAACAAGAGTAACAGCAACGGCAACGGGAGTGGCAACAATAGCAGCAACAACAATTGCAACTGCAGCTACATGTTGTCGTTGGCACGCCTTAAAGGCGGCAACAGAAAAAGCACCAACAGAAACAGCAGCGACGACAACAACGCCAACTCGACCATTGTAAATAAGATGTAATAATTTTAAATCGCAAAAAACCTAACAAAAACAAAAAATAAAATAAAGCACAAGGGTCGGACAGATGCTGTGACAAAGGGGTAATATGGAGAAGGGTGGCTTTGGAGTCCTTTTTTCAAGGCACGAGGGTGGCACATGTCTGAGTGCAAAGAAGCTGAAAACAAGTTGCCGGGATTAGCTGCTATCCGACGTGGCAAATACCTGGCTAAGTTGTTGAAGGCTCTGAGCTATATTTGTTGTAGGACTTAGGTTTTAAGTGCAAGCCTTAAGCCATTTTAAATATTTAAATCCTCCATTTAATTACCAAAAATAATTGAAATTAAATATCAGTCGTTTCTAACGTTTAAAACAAAATTGTATCTTCTTGAGATGCCAAACTCATGATTAAGGCCAATAATGCATATAATAAATTATTATAGCCACTAAATCCTGGTTAAACTCTCTGCTTTAGAGTATGCTGAATAAAACCCCTTTAAGCCACGAATGGGGGAGCTTACCGTACCGTCATCATTGGCGCACACACGCACACACACACACTGGCACAATGCATGTTGCAATTGACAGCGGAATGGCAGGCAAAAGGCGCAGCTGCACACACACACACGAGCACAAGAAAAGTGAGGCAACTGGGAAATGGCAAGGCGTCCTTTAGAAGCCCACTCCTTAGCCCCCTCCTTCGGCCAAAGCCCCCTCGTTTCCTGAAAGAGCGGTAGCAGCTGCTGCTCGTGGCCAAAAAACCGTTTCGTAATTAAGTGCTGCCGGCAAAGTGCGGCTCGTATGTGTACAAGCCAGTGGCGTAAGCGAGTAGGGGGAGGGCTGCACCACCAAGCCCCCAGTAACCCACCACCGCATCCCCTCAAGAATGTTGCACAACATAATTTTGTTAGAGTTTAAAGGTATGAAAAAAAGACTTCTTTGTAGCCGTATATTTTATGCATAGAATTTCATATAAATATTTTTCTTCACACTCTATCCCCCTGCCAAAAAAAATCCAGCTTACGCCACTGGGCTTATACAGTGTTCACTTGGCTATCGGTCGTGGGTAATGAGAGGCTCTCGGCTGTGGGCGTGGTCGGGGGCAGAGATCCCTGCTTAGCCATTTGTTTGCTTATTTAAGTTTCAGTTTTTCTTTCGTTTTTTTTCTCACACGTTTTTCACTCTCCACGCTGAATGCAATATTTTCTTATATTTTTTTTTTTGGAGAACTTTAAATTGGAAATTCCTGGCAACAAATGCAAGTATCCCCTGGGTTCATTATCAACCAATGGTTGACCCACCGGGGTCTTACTCATAGAACTTTGCCGCTGCCGGATTCTCAAACTTGAAACTCGGGACATGGCTGAAATTGAAAGACCGAACAAATTGGAAATGCAACTTTCAATGGGTTAAGTCGGTGACACATCGATATCAGATGACTTCGATTACTAATTTGAAAACGATAGTAATATCTGAAATCAGAGGCGGCTTTGAAATTTCATTCAACATTCATCAGGGCAGGCCTTGAATTCTTGTGAATTTTTATTGTCAAAAAATATTTGAGAGTCCTTGTTAATTTTCAAACAAAAAGGGAGAAAAGTCTGAAAAAATGCATATGTGGCATATGTGGGAACATACACGCAATAATCAGGACATGCCAGAAAACATCCGTGGTAGTTCCATGGATGAGGATATGTCTGCTTCGGACGACGATGACGCCGTCCTCAAGTTCAATGTAAAATATGGCAATTTAAGGAAGAAGATTTACGTTCTTCGGGAAAAAACTGTAGCCGCATTGCAACAAGCCATTTTCGGACATTTCAATGTGCATCCAAAATACCAGATACTTTGTGGATGCGGCCTGGTTGACGCAGACTCCGATGAGGTTTCCAAAAAACCCCTTAACAGCCTCAGCCTCTCATCAAATAATTGTATAGATGTTGCTGACAAGTACAACAAAATAACCATTGAGATCCAGGACGAGACCAATAATAAGACTATCACCTTGAGGATGTCAAATTCAACCACTGTACAAGAATTGAAGCATAACTTCTATTGCATTACCAATATACCGGTCCGGTTCCAGGAGTGGTCAGAATTCCCCAAGGTCGTCCACTCAGATACCCCGCTCTGGAAAGCTGGATTTGGATCGGTTGAGAAAGTCCTTCTGAAGGTAAGCCGCTCCGAGGATCAGTCTCAGTTCAACACAACCAGTTCGGCCGATGAGGCTGCTACCGATTCGGAGACTGATTCGGATTTGGACAATGACGGGTCGGAATCGGATACAATAAGCTTGCTTGGTTGGAAATCGACAAATGTGTCAAACTCATCTTCGGAGAATTCTTTGATTGGGAATGATCCTACCTTAGTGGACCTTCATGAAGGCACTACATTGTTTGTTCAGAACTACAAGTTGCGTTTTGGAGAGCCTATGATTGATTTCTATATCGGCGACTTGAGAGACGCCTTCAAGGAGACATTCGTTCAAACTGAAAATGTAGGTATCCTTCCACAAAAATGTATATAGATTTTAAATCACTTATTTTATTTTTCAGAAAAAACTGTTAGCCATTTATTTGCATCATTGTGATAGCATTTTGACCAATATTTTCTGCCACAACGTTCTGAAGAATGAAATGATTCAGTGGATTTTCAAGAAGCTATTTATTGTTTACGGCTGGGACTTGACCAAGGAAACGAAGGGGGAAAGTCATTTTTTTAACGAGTTGAAGGATGTGATTAGTCCAAATGCATGTACAACTGCTGAAAACATGTGTCTGGACAAGCTGCCGGCTTTCCTGATGGTCCGTAAGGAAGTTGCGACGAAACGAACTTTCATTTCCGTGGTTCATGGCGATCTCGGAGTCGAAGAATTGCAGACACGTTTGCTAGAGCAATATGAACTACTGACCGGTCTGGACTAAGATTCAAATTTATAAAAATTTTCAAATTAATAAATATCTTCATATCAAAGGAGAGTTTACAATTTTCCAAGCTTTTGAATTTTCACCAATTCCACCAATAGTAATAGGAATTTATCCCCCATATACATACGGTTTTATATAAATGGCTGAGCCATTTGGTTGAAAAAGTAAGCACCGCCCAACCAAGCTTATACAAAAACATTTTCAACAAACGAGGAAAAAGTGTTCAGAGCTTTTTTAGTTAGCACCGAGCGTTTATTTTCAATTTGCTAGCGAATTATTCTCACACCCTTGTGTGGCATGCAAGCCACGTTTTGCTCCCCTCTTAGCCATATAGCCATTGTTTAAGCCGGCTGCTATATTTTAAGGTTATTTGCAGACCCTAGTCCGCGGCCTTTTTTGTTTCTGTTCCAGGGTAAGAGCATTTCTTGCTGCCTTTTTAGTTTTTTTCTTCTACATACAACTGCTTGTGCTTTCTGCTTTCCTGTTCCTATTCCACTGGCGGCGTTAAGCAGCTTACCAAAGCGCTGCCAACCGACATAAATTAAAATGGCCAACGCTGCATCCGCTTTACACGCACACATGAAAACATGGACACACACACACGAATATATATGTAGGTGCCACACCTTTGGCTTTGCTTGCCACTCGTTTTGTTCATTTGCGTGGCAAACAAATCGCTCGAGCGGCAACAAATTGAGTTTCTTTATGATGTCCCATTTGGCGTGTGCAGGTGTACGGATCACTTTTCGTATGTGTAATATACACTGAGAAAAACTAAACTATCTTTCATTTACAACCCAAGCCGTCTAGAAATCCAAAGAGCTTTTTTTGGAACTTCTAAACTCTAACATTACTACCTTAAGCCACTCATTTCTTTCTCTGTACTGTGTGGGTGTATTCTTATTTGTACAAATGTCTTGACGCTTAGATGTTGGTTTTTGGGACAGTTTGCCAAATGATTTTTCATCGCGCCCTTTTTGGCTTTTCTGGGACCGACTTTGCCATCTGCTTGGCCGCCGGCAAATAATTTCTTATATCAATCACAATTAATTATGCAACCCATCGGAGCATGTTGGGGTGTCTGGATGTGTCTGGGTTACCTTTAGGTGATATAAGTCCCATCATTTTTCCTTATTAGATTATTTATGCAAAGGTGCGCAAAACGCAAAGTTCTACAAAATAGAATTTTTGTAGACAAAATCTGCACTGCAACACTAACATGACTTCGAAAATATTCCACATTTTAAGGCCCCACTATCATGGAGTTTATCAAAATATACAAACTGGTCCTTCTTTAAAAGGTTTCCTGAGAAATTTAGGGATTGTGTAGTTTCATTCGACCGCCAGATCTCAAGGCGTTCACATCTTTATTTATTAAGTTTGTTTTTTATTTTTATTTTATCTATTTTTATATTTTTTTTTCATCTATATTTTTTATTTGATTTTTTGAGTCATGGTCGGCTTCCTTTCCATGGGCGCCTACCTCTTTTTATTTATTTTTATAAATTTTATTTTGTTGTTTGAGTCATGGTCCTCTAATACGCATTTCCCGAAATCTCCCGCCTGTTTTTATTTATTTTTATAAATTTTATTTTGTTGTTTGAGTCATGGTCCTCTAATACGCATTTCCCGAAATCTCCCGCCTGTTTTTATTTATTTTTATAAATTTTATTATGTTTTTGAGTCATGGTCCTCTAATACCCATTTCCCATAATCTCCCGCCAGTTTTTATTTATTTTTATAAATTTAATTTTGTTTTTTGAGTCATGGTCCTCGAACGGCCTCCTTCATGATCGACTCCTGGTTCTCATTTATTTTTATAAATTTTATTTTGTTTTTTTGAGTCATGGTCCTCTAATTTTCCAAAATCTCCCACCTGTTTTTATTTATTTTTATAAATTTTATTTTGTTTTTTGAGTCATGGTCCTCTAATTTCCATTTCCCGAAATCTCCCGCCTGTTTTTATTTATTTTTATAAATTTAATTTTGTTTTTTGAGTCATGGTCCTCGAACGGCCTCCTTCATGATCGACTCCTGGTTCTCATTTATTTTTATAAATTTTATTTTGTTTTCCTCTAATCATGGTCCTCTAATTTTCCAAAATCTCCCACCTGTTTTTATTTATTTTTATAAATTTTATTTTGTTTTTTGAGTCATGGTCCTCTAATTTCCATTTCCCGAAATCTCCCGCCTGTTTTTATTTATTTTTATAAATTTTATTTTGTTTTATGAGTTATGATCCTCTAAAGGCCTCATCCATGATCGCCTCCTGGTGCTGATTTATTTTTATAAATTATATTTTGTTTTTTGAGTCATGGTCCTCTAATATGCATTTTCCGAAATCTCCCGCCTGATTTTATTTATTTTTATACATTTTTTTTTTGAGTCATGGTCCTCTAAAGGCCTCTTCCATGATCGCCTCCTGGTTCTGATTTATTTTTATAAATTTTATTTTGTTTTTTTGAGTCATGGTCCTTAAATTTTCCGAAATCTCCCGCCTGATTTTATTTATTTTTATAAATTTTTTTTTTTGAGTCATAGTCCTCTAACACCAATTTCCCGAAATCTCCCGCTTGTTTTTATTTATTTTTATACATTTTATTTTGTTTTTTGAGTCATGGTCCTCTGAAGGCCTCCTCCATGATCGCCTCCTGGTTCTCATTTATTTTTATAAATTTTATTTTGTTTTTGAGTCATAGTTCTCTAATACCCATTTCCCATAATCTCCCGCCAGTTTTTATTTATTTTTATAAATTTTATTTTGTTTTTTGAGTCATGGTCCTCTAACGGCCTCCTTCATGATCGACTCCTGGTTCTCATTTATTTTTATAAATTTTATTTTGTTTTTTTGAGTCATGGTCCTCTAATTTTCCAAAATCTCCCACCTGTTTTTATTTATTTTTATAAATTTAATTTTGTTTTTTGATTCATGGTCCTCTAAAGGCCTCCTCTATGATCGCCTGCTTCATCATTATCCTACTTTTACTCATATTTAAAAAAATATTTCATGGTGCTTCAGTTTCATTTATTATACCTCCATCGCAGATTCATCATTCTTCTTATTTATTGTTTTATTTTTTCTTATTTCCATTAGTTTTTTATTATTTCGAGACGAATCATAGTGTCTTCCTTTTATGCTTAGATATGTGTTTGTTACCCATTAAGTATGCATTGCAGAAAATAAAAAAAAAACGGAGGCAGCGGTAATGGCGCGTAATGAAGTGAAAATTGTCCTTAAGCGTCAATTTGTGGAAGACGAGGATGTCGATGAGACACCGAAAGGTCCTTCCCGTTTGCTGCGGTTGGCGGTGTAGCCCGATAATTTGATGCTTGCCGATGCGCGATAAATATAATTTGTTGCACGTCATGTGTATTAACTTTTTGCCGACACTGTCTGGCACTTGCCCCGAAGGACATCGATGCAGTGGCGCACGGCATAACGCAACCGGGCGGCTCCTTCTCGGAATTTCCCGTTACCAAGATATTTGCTGACTATCCTGCCCAGCGACTATCCCCCCGGTGGGCGTCTCATGTGTGCTGACCCCGCCCACAAATTGTAATTAAAATTGCATAGCTAAATTGATTATGTACATAATACAGCAATTTATATATATATTTTTTTTGCTTTTGTTATGACGGTGGCGAAGGGGCCAAGTATCTGTAGTTGGCAGTAAGTAATTTCCAGTGGGTCTCCAAAAGTTTGCCAAGTGGAAATTTTTAATTAAAAGCAAATGCTTTTCAGTTTTTTGGTGAAAATTTCTGTATCAGCTGGCTGGCTGCAAGATAGCGTAGAGCTGCAGAGATGCCTCGCCTTTGACACTGCTCCTGGGCTGTGGTTTTGGGTTCTTTGTACATCCGCCGACGGATATCCAGCCTTCAATTAAGCAACTGACCGCCAAAAGTTCGCTTTCACCTTTGGTGAGCAAAATTCCCCCGACAGGAACAGAGTCAGAACGGCCGGATTATGGCATTCAATCTGGGCAAGATTGCAGTTGCCGGCGGCGTCGGCGATGTGATAAGCAAAAACATAAGCATTTGTTTGTGCAGCACAATAACTCTACATCCTGTGTCCTGCTTCCTGCCACACGTCGTGTTCGTTTTCACCTGGGATGCATATTCGCAAACTGGCAAACAAAAAATATGGAAAGTCGGGCAACTCTGCATGTTTCAATTTTGAATATGTTGCACGTTTTTTCCCGCAGTCTCTTCCTCGCGGAAAAATGGAAATGCACTCGTGAAAAAAATAGAAATAAAATGCTGTGCATGCATCACTGATTCGCGAAGGGAGGAGGCCAGTGTCAGTTCTGGAAATAGACCTGTGAGTGAAAACACCGACCCGCCAGCGGATTGGTATCAATCTGCGAAACAACTGGCTGAGTTCATATTTCATTTTAGGCATTTTTTGCGGACGATTCAAAGAGTAAATAGACACTGACTGACTTTCCGTTTAATTTTAATCAAAAAAGTCAGACTTCAGGGAGTCTTTTTGTTTCTAAAGTTCACAACAAGGTTGTAAGATCAATTCTAAAGGAACAGTGTCAATAGCAGAACTAACAAGGATTGAAGGTTACAAAAGGCATCACAACAAATGCATTTTATTGTTTATACTCCCTAGAAGGTGCATCTATGCATATATTGACTGACACAGGCATTCAAAGAAATTCCGATGCGAATGTTGAATTTCAATTAGAATTGAGTTTTATTGTTTTTTCTGTCATTTCACTGGCTGGAATGCTTGTCTCCCCATTCAACTTTGTGTCCGGTATGTCCCCTAGACTGAATATTAAATGAATATGTGCGTCCGTTTGTTTGTGTTTTCAATAACTAGCGAATGCTGTGCATTTCATAATTGAATTGCGAGCATAAATTGGCATTTAATTAATAAAGCAAATGCAATTTTTGGCGCTGCCTGCCAGCAACAGCAGCCGTCGCCGCATCCCCAAAACGAAATAACTCCAATAAACACCAGCGAGTCCTGTCTGGCAGACAAATTACCATTTAGCCAGTACGACACTTGGACAGCTCCTGACAGCACATAATCTGAGG